GTCATTGTGGCTTTTCGTGAAGAGCCAGCGTACTATTGGCATGTTCCAAGATCGCTCAATTGTTGAAGGACTGAGCTAGCTTGGGTTGTCTTTGCTTTCAGCCCTCTAATCACGATAAAAGTGTACTGCGTGGGGCACTATCAAGGAGAACCCCTATCTTGTGACACATGCCTGTAGGAGCGTTCTAAGTGCAAGCAATCCCGGGCAATGCAGCGAGCTGCAACACAGGGGCCTGACACTTGCCGAAGGTGAACTGCTGCCCATTGGTGTTGTTGCTGAAGCTCTTTCTATCCTAGCTGGGCACCCCAAGTGTTGAAGCGTCTTCTCCAGGCACTGCATCAGTTCGCCTTGATCGCATTAGAAGGTCTAGAAAGGTATAGGCCAGAGCACAGTTTATGAGAATCACCCTTTAAACAAGAGCCATCTAGAACCTCTAATCGAAAGCTTGCCCTGGCGTACAGGTATGATGGCTGTGCAGCAGCAGCCTTTAGCGGGCGGCTGGATCGCCAAGCCAAACTGAGGAGTGGATGGAGGGGGTCCGTGACAGTTTTGGCTGAAGCCTCGGAGTCATCCAAGAAGATAGAGCGCACAAATCGCAAAATCGCAGCCGGCGATGTTCTTCAAACAGGTGCGACCAAGCCGCATTCCTTGACCTAAGGTTGCCACTGACACCTACCAACCCTGTGAGCTTGATTGCAAAACCCTTTCCACAGACTCTTCCAGGACTTATGTCGTTCGTCCATGGTCAAGGACTCCCCGGCGCTCAGTAAGGAATGGGGGCATGGATGAGAAGGATCTTACTCGTCGTGGTTATACGAGGATTACTAGATTGGGCATCCATTCCCACGTTCCCTGCAGTAGATGACACATCTCTGGCCAGAGCTGGGTGCAGCCCCAAAAATGAAACAACCAGTGCCAATTCGGAGTAGTGGCGTTCGTTTGCAAAGAACGTTACGTGCTTTTGGGGGCATGTAGGGGGAGCCCGATTTTGGAAATATGCAACTTGGAATGGAAGACTTAGTAAGTCCTTTGTGGAGATACAGGCTTGAAATTGCGCAGGGTTTCTGGACATGCTGGGTTGTTCTATATCTCTCTGGATCCTAGAGGTTAGGGCTTTGGGGTGCAGAATTTGGTTGAACATTGAGGTTGTAAGGCTGCAGATCGGGGACGCTCACCTGCGCATCAGCACTCGGGAAGTCCAAAAAAAAACTTTCTGAGACTTACCTAAGGCTCCTCAAGGTGTCCCTTGAATGAAGTTCCGTCAGGATTTCCTAAGGATATGATTTTTCCAGCGCTCTAGGCACATGCCCATGTCCAGCGGCAAGGCACACAATCAAAACGACAGAAGCCGACGCCTCGCTCTTCATATGTAAGTTTCCTAGTTTTTCAAAAGAAAAGCATGCTGCTAGAGGGCATGGTGGCCCTAACACACACGCATACAATCATATGGTTGCTCCAACTGGCCATGATTTTAGGGTTGGAGCGCGAAGTCTATCAAATTGTATGCAAACTAAAGACTAAAGAGCTTCAAAAGGTGGCGTTGTTGTTTAAGGGCATTTACCGTATAGGTTCAGGGAGCACACCAAAGGCTCCAAACTTCGAAGCGATTATTGTAGTCAACTCTGAAGCCTTCAACGCTAAACGGGCACTAGTTCCAGGGTCTGAAGTACAATTGAGAGCTTGAAGGTTGCGTGGAAGTACAGTAATCATAGCAATAATAGTTATCGTTGTTTGGTGGTCCTTTTGGCCATAATAGCAGTAATAGTGGTATTACTAATGATTATACACATCTGGGGCATGTTGTTGCGGCATCAGAGCTCAAGGATTCTACAGTTTAGACCCCACTAAATCTACAATCATGTGTCTAAGCCACCCACCCTAGGCCCCCAATTTTGAAGTCAATTTCAAAGAAGAGCTAGGCGAATAGAGCTCTAAACTCCACAACCCCTCAGCCTTCAAGAAGTCCGAACAGCAGTGTGGAGCGCTGGCGAGCACTATGCAGCGGTAGTCGTGCGGTTGATGCAACATGGGGCAATGTCTAGGGGCTACTGCAGCAATCTGCTCTTACAAACAGTATGACGTAGGATTCTGGAGCTTTCTGCTTCAGGGCTTTGAGGGGTCAAATAGGAGATTTGACCTCCTCTCACATCTTACATGGGTGGGGCTGCTGGATTGATACTCCTTGAAGTGTCTAGTCCTGGAGGTTAAAACTGGTCTAAGCTTCTTTGTTCCAAGAAGAAGGAGGTCACTCTTGGAGGAATCCCCATCCAAGCATTCTACCAGCAGTCCCGATGTTAGGACGGACGTTTTGCCAAGAAAATGATTCAAGCCTTATGGCATAAACCGCAAGAATTCAGAGTTGCACGACCCTGCCCAGCAGAATTCAAAAATGCAGCTTGATTTCACATGGTTCTTGCTTGGGGAGGGCAGGATCTAGGGTTCGGGGACCGGGATTTAGGGTCTATAATGAGGTTTGAGGGGCTGTTGCATGGTATCGATCTTCATGCGACCAAGGCTGTTCAGCACGTTACTCTTTCAAGCATCTTCAAGCATGCATGAGCCAAGCTGAAGCCGCTGATGACAAGTTCCGTTGTGCTCTCACCTCACTCCCTCCTCTTCCTTCCTCCCTCTCTCTCCCTCTCTCTCCCTCTCTCTCCCTCTCTCTCCCTCTCTCGCCCTCTCACTCACTCTCTCTCTCTCTCTCTCTCTCTTCCTCCCCCTATCCAGCTGAACGTTGAACGTTGTGTGTGTTTCTGTCTACACGTAGGGGGCTGATCAAAACAAGGTCCACTTCCGCTTCTGTTCATAGAAAGTTAAGCTTGCATGATTTTGGGAGACTTTCTGTTAATAGGCGAAGGGTTTCTATCATAAATCCCCGAAAGGAGCCCAGCTCCAACTGCAAAGGCCAGATATTCGTAGTTGTTTCTCGATGGCCATACTCAGGTCGTGAGAGCTCCGTCTGTGGCTTTAAACTTTACATCCGGAATTTGGGGGCCTGATTACGAGGCACTTGGTTCTCTCTTCTGCTGGTGCGGAAACTTTTGCACGACAATCAGTTGCCTTGAGCACATGCCATCGCGTGCCGTACGACGCATGCGGGGCCATTGGTTTGAAGATGCTTCTGCCACATATTGGGCTCGCACGATTTGGGTCTCTGACCTCAGGGGCCGATGCTAAAGGCAGATATCGAGCAATAGAACAGAAAGACTTGATGGATTTGCTCTCGTTTCTGACTGAGACGTTCCTTACGCTTCCCAATTCTGTGTTGTGATCTAGAACGCTAGGGAGGTTTAAAATTCGATATGATTCCGACAAAGCTGCAGCTAACAACAGTTACATTGAGGCAACACGTAAGAGTGGTAGCACTGACAGCACACGCGCCAAGTATGAGTTGTACCGTCACAGGCAACATACGCCACACACGAGACCCTATAGGCAGAAGACAAAGGCTGAGTGCATTTTGCTCCTGGAGAAGACTGCCGGTGCAAATGCTGGAAAAGCGAAAATATGGTTTGCAGACGCTGCTGGTTGGCGATGCGTTCGAGGATGCAGGATTGAAGTGGCAACGGTCTAGTACTCTTAGTTAGATGACGCATGTAGAAGATCGCGGAGCCCTGTGGAATGTACACAATTCTGGGTCTCAATCATCGTAGTTGGAGGTCGGGCAAGGAGCTGGACAGTTGAGGTCAACGAGTCCTGTGACGAGCTTTCTGTGGCTCGTAGACACAGTCCAAACACGCAGGCAAGCTAGACATGTCTAGACGGTCAAGTTAGGTGCCCGTCGGCCATTGGAACATGTACCGGAGCCAATCGTACTTAGGTCAGACATGTACAAGGCTACCCGCTCCTGGAGTTGAAGAGCTCATCAAACTGCCTAGCAATGCGCTGGCCAATGAGATGGATGTTCATAAGCCGGTTGTCAAATGGTGCTCCCATCCTCAGGCTCCTGCTGCCGCTAAGACTGATGCCTTGGATTGCCTGCATGTTCAAGCGGCGAAGGTGCCTAGTATGCGTAATAGAAGGAGTCAAGCAGTATGCTGAAAGCGCACCACGCCGGCAGAAAGCATAGCCCAAAACCCAAGTGAAATCTGATTTTACTTGGGTGCCATCCGATTGGGAGCTGTGAATTCATACGATGGTAGGTCCCACGCCCTGCCCAAAGGACCCGAGGCCCGCACCTTCTGTCAACATTTGTCAACTGGGAATCTCTTGTGTGCTGTGCGAATTTCAAGCTGTCCCTGGAGAAGAACCGGCGTGCAGAATCAATGGTGCATGCCAGGAGATACCACCTGTAGTTGGCATGCGGAACTAGCTACCAGCAATTAGGGAAAGTGAGCCGGGTCCTTTGTCTTGGTCAGAGGGTTTGAAGTTATGTTCGGCATGCTTTGATTAGAAGGCTTTCATAAGCATGAAAGAACCAGAGAGTAAACTCTTAATCTTCAGGATTCAGGTTATGGAGTGGATTTGCAGCGCCATGGCAACTGCGATGGTGTTTGCCGCAACGGCAGCTGCAGCCTCTGTGCTTCTTGATGAGCATTTGATCTGTCCGGTTGTATGACCACTCAGAGAGCAAATAGGGCTACCTGCATCTTGCATTTGGGGGGCTTGCGGGCTTCAGGCCTTACATTCAAAAACTAAACTGCGGGTGTAGTTCTTGCAGCTGAAGCTAAGAGCCCCTTTCAACAGGATGCAGACGAAATTGTCGCAGTTTTCGGTGGCTCCACAGCTGTTGTGCACCTCACAAAACCCGGCCACAACAAGCAAGAACAGGACGCTATGTAGCCATTGTTGCTTACAGAATTCAAATTCCAAGCAGTGGGCTTAGGACTCCGGGTGATCCGGACTGCTGGTTGGGAAGCCCTCTGGAAATGAAGGCCAAATGCTGTGCCGATGCTTCTGCTGGATCTAGCTTGGGCTGCTGGACTTGGCCCTACTTCTTCGAGCAGCTCATTCCTTCAGTCATGATTTTGTGATACATTTTTCAATTCCTTTAGTGCCATATGTGTTTGCAAACCATTTTCGTTTCGGGTTCCTTTGCTGCAGAGCCAAGGAGGTGTTGCTTGGGACTTGGCACTAGAAGCGGTACGTGCTTCTCCAGCCAATCCCAATTTGGTGAAGAGACAACTGTCATTGATGCCTTTGGCTGGCATGATAAAAGCGATGGAGTTTACGTTGAGACTCGGGGCTTACTTTGACATCTTTTGTTTGTTGACATGGCGAGAACATGTAAACACCCCTGAGCTGGCCCGCATAAATGCATTCACGCAAGCAAAGCTTAGCAGGATTGGGTTTGTACGTCAAATGCAGTCAAATGCAGGGTCGGCTGCATGCACGGTGGGCAGACATTGTTACTTGCCTTTTGTGTGAGGGAGTAGAGGGTTGGTGGTAGCGTGGGCGTTAGGGGTTGCAAGGAAACCGTACTGGTCTACACCAGGTTTTGTTGCTTTGACTAGGGTCTGCAAGTCAGCTGAGGATCGGTGCGTTGGACGGCATCAAGTACTCGAACACACTTTCACTGCACACCTGCTTAGGCTGGACTGGCCTTTTGGTCGAAGGCAGCCCGCGTAATTTTCATTTTTTGCGACGGAATTTGCTGACCACGCGCCCCGAAAATGTCGTTGCACATTTTGGAGCAGTTTGCGCACCTCCCCTGACAAATACGACGTTCCTTCGGGGAAGGAAACATGGAGCAGTTGATGCAGACATTAGGCACGTGTCTGACACTGTGACGACCCTCGGCCGAAACTGCAAACACTCTTTGGAACTTTGAAATTCGTTTCAGCTCTTTGTGGGCCGGCTTTGGGCGAACATCAAATTCCTTCATTGCTCTCCGCAGGTAAACCTCGAGAGATTTACAGGGAGCTTTCAACGACCCAGCCCACTGCTTTTGAGGACCCCTTAAATCACTCAAGGCAAGATCATGCGCATCACCGTCGGACAACTGTGCCCTGCAAGCCGATGTCATGGTATCTTCAATCTCTTCCTCGAGGCTTGGCCCATGCTTATTGAAATTGGTGAGCCAGGCCTCCTGCTGGAGGTATGGGGACAGCGCCAGGAAAGGCAGCATGAAATCCTATGAATTCCTACTCTATGCCCCGTCCTGATGGCGTCTTGTAACCTGGCCGTGCTTACAAAAGTCCAACATCGCATTTCTTCCCAAGCAGCTCTAGCAGGATGGTTGTCAGAATGACCACAAGGTGTATACCAGACTCCACTTTACTTGATTGTCACACGGCACTTCTAGCAAGGTACAAGGCCTTGTTTCTATGCCTCGATTGGATTTAGGTCTGGACCTGAAGCTTCAAGATTGCACAAGCAAGCGTGCTCCTAGCTAGCTGTAAGTGGGGGGGCAGCCGAGAATTCCTACTACTGCCTCCCCAATCACCCCACCGGCACCAATCAACCCGAATCCTATGTGCAGACACTCTGAAATCATGGGGCCCACAAGAACCTAACACGATCCAAGCAGGGCATGTGGACTTCTTCTCTTTGGATGTCGAGGGCGCAGAGCTAGAGGTCTTGCTAACCATGAACTTCAACGCCGTGGTCGTGGAAGTGTCCCTGGGAAGTTATCCCTCCCCCATGGAAACCCAAAAGGGTCGTGTATGTACAGCTCTCCTTTCTGAAAAGGGTTTTGCGCAGTTCCATGTTTTCTCAAGCTCCAAGAATCACTGTAGAGCTGATGCAGAGAAACTTATCATTCCCATGAGGCTTCTGGTTGCCTTTCGCATTACTTCTGATTGGCGACATAAGTGGATTACCCCTTTGTGAACAATGATGATCTCACGGTGCTCTAGTCCGATTAGCACATGCATTTCTCAAAAGAAGCCTTGTGAACTTCTTGAAGGGAAGTCTACATGGCGATCCCCTCGTAAGCCCGCAAATCCCGACAGTGGAGTCAAAAGGGTGCCTCACATGTCAAAGAGGATGGATCCACGCTTTGACTGGGACAGGAGGGGTTGTTGAGGCGCGACAGGTCTGTCAACAGACGTTCATGTGTCTTTTGTGATGTCTGAAGGTCGAGTTCCCATAACCCATGCTCTTTTTCATTTGGTTCTCCGTTATTGTGGTGGTATCCCTGGTTGGGATCATCTGGCTACCTCAGCCCAGGAGTAGAAGGGAATCCTGCCAGCTGAAAGTCCGAGGAAGTTGGGGTGCTGGAGAGCACCCTCATGGGTCGAAAGCAATCCTCCGCCACTAAGCCCGAGCCAAAAAAACACCTTCTACAGCAAGAGCCCATGCTGCAACCAAGGTTCATGGTCGAGCTACATGCACAGGCAGAGTCCGACAAGGTGGCCGGTCATGCACGCAGTGTGTGGCCATGTCGCAGCGTATACTCGAAGCGAAATTGGAATGAACATCCTCTCAGATAACTTCGTGGAACGGGGGCTATATATGTACTCTGCAAGATTTGCGGGAATAGAAACAAGAGCTTGCGGAAACAATTCTTCAGGGGATACCGAGGACCCAGTGCTGTAGCCTTTGCACGCGGCTTTGGCAATTCCTGTTTGCCACACCCATGCGTCTCAAGCATCCCAGACGGTCCTAGACAGGTGCGAGGCTGGAAAGTTCGGAACCTGTTGGAAAATCTTGGCTACCAAGAATGCCAGCAACTTGCCACAGCACATGGGTAAGGGCTCTGAATTCTTCTGAGTCTTTGAGAACAATGTCAACGAATCAACGGGTTGAGTCGCCCGCGAATTGAGCGCTTTCCTCAGTCACGGCGAATATGTTCAATGCTCTTGGCCCTTTTTTTGATTCCTTTGTAAGGTTGTGTGGGACTTCGGATGTGGATTGACCTCCTGTGCACAGAGGACTTGTAAATTTAGGCAATCCTCCATCTATTTGCTGCGTAATTCTCACAATCCCACAAAGGAAAGCCCAACAGCAGTTCTCCTGAGGCATGCCAAAGTGAAGTACAGCGGACTCTTCGTTCGCCGGCAGGGCCCATATGTGGCCAACTGCTAGCAGGTTCTTTGCAACTCTCTGACTTTGTTGTAACTCAGGTCGGGGGAAAGGCCGTCAAGGTTTAGGAGCAGCACAAGGTTTCGAAATATTTGTGGCGTGCAGCATCATATGTCTCACTCAGAAGTTCGTTATTCCATGCGTTGAATACTCCAGGCTAGGGCCTAGAAATATACAATTCCGCAGGCCCTGAAGCTGCAGCGCTACGGCTTTCTGGATATCTAGATATCGTAAGGATTTTCAGCCCCTTCAATTTTAGAGATCGACCTCCAAAGAAGAGGTTAAACTCCAACTCGGCGTTGCCAAATGCCGCAAAATACGATCATATCTAGACGGATACCATATTCCAATCATTTCTCTTTGAAATAGATTTCTCAGATTCTATACGACCATATTATCAGATCGCCAAAAATATAGGATTATAATATCAATGATTTTGAAATATATAATTCATTTATCTATCATATCATTATCTTATATTCTTTTTCTAATTAAGAAATAATACGAAATTAAGAGATATCGCTCATTTGAACCCTTTTCATTTTAGCTGATATAAATTATCTATATAATTCTTCATTTTGAAATTCTTCTAAGATATATATTTTCATTTAGGGAGATTCCCTACCCGTAATAGTGGTATAATAGGAATATAATAGATTATTAATATAATCTTTATTGTTTCTTATAGATATCATTTTAGATTGGGGGGTCTGCTTAAATTTTCATTTATTTCTGATTTAGAAAATGATATATTGAATGATTTATGGTCGTCAATGAAAAATTAAACGACAGAAATATAGAAAAATATAGATTTTAGGAAATTATTTCTTGATTTGAATGAAATTGAAAAATATGGATATATCAAATTTAATGAGAGATATAAATTAATATTTCTTTTCCATAAGGATAATCGTATACGTCTCGTTGGAATTCATCTTGAATTTAGCTTATATTTCATCTTATTATGAATATATATATATTTATTTATAGGATAGAAAGAGAGAGAGGAGGAAAGAGAAAGATAATAAGAAAGATTATTTTGATAAGAGAGATTCTTAAATATATTTTTTTTTAAAGATAGATTCTGATTTTTTTTTTGGAAAGAGAGGCTCTTAATATAGATATATAAATACGAAGATATAAATAGATGAATATTTTATAATATATATATTTCAATATTATGATGGGACTATTCGCGTTGCAATTACGTGATCTTATTTTTCCGACTCGCTTCTAAAATATTTTTGCGGATTCCTTAAGGACTCTAAAATATCGGAGATTTTAGAATCTTTCAGAAAAATTAGAGACTCTAAAATTTCCGAGATTTTTTGCGCGGATGAGGCGAGCAAAAATCTCTGCTCCCGCCGCGCCCGCAGCTCCTACCGCCTCGCCGCCCCTACTGCCCTCGCCGCCCCCACCGTCCGCGCCGCTCATATTGCCGTCACCGCTCCCACCGTCCACACTCTGATTTTGGAAATATTTACTATAAGGGATTCCAATATATGGCCGAGTCCCCGCGCCGTCCCCGCCGTCCCCATCGCCCTCGCCGCCCCCACCGCCCACCGCCCCGCCCCCCGCCGCGCCACCGCCCACCCCGCCCGCACCGCCCGCACCGCTCCCACCGCCTCACCGCCCCCAACGCTATCATTGGACCAACTACACCGCCCTCCTCTCCTGCTGTTCCCTTCGCATCTCCGTCCCCGCCGCCCTCAGGTCGCACGGTCCTTCGTCCAGAACGAATTTCCGTATGATTTATCTATCTCTTTCGCTGGCTACGTAGCTCTTCGACGCAACGTACAGACCCGGGATAATTGCGGTTGTCATACGTTCTTACGATCTGACGCATAATAATTATCTAAAGAGAGATAAAAATAATCGCATTCATCATGGCATTCTCTCGACCCGCCGCGCAGCCCTTAGATCAAAAGAGATATATGAAGCGGAAATTCCAGGCCGGAATTCTTGGATCGCAGGAATAAAGATCTCCCGAGATTTTGAATCATTATTTTCTCTTTGATTATCTGCGGCCCTTGCCCCGCGGAGCGGTCTTCCGCATGATTCATCATTCTTTGATTGCATATATGATTGGTCGACGGAATATATAAATCAGGGATGAAGAAATTTTCAGTATTTGAAGGCTGGTCGCGTCGATCTACGGGCATTTATGCATTCCGCTGATCTGCCATATAATAACTAGCGCAAAAGAGATAAATGAATCGGAAAGATCGGGCCGGGGACCTTGGGCCGCGCATTCTCTGCGGCTCTTGCCCCCCGGAGCAATCTTCCGCGTGATTCATCTCTCTTTGATTGCATATGGGGTTGGTCGGCGGAATATCTTGATCCGAACCGGAGACTCCAAATCATTCAGAATTTATAATTTGACCGCATCTAATCACGGATATTTATGCGCTCCTCCGATCCGCCGCGCATTTTTGAGAATGAAAGGCCAGAATCATCCTTTTCAAAGACGATCATCTTCATAGATATATATCTATTTCAATTTTTTTTCTCGAAAATGATTCGAATCTTCAATTCCTGGTCCTTCAAAAAATCTATCTATAAAATCTAGATCCTAAAATCTAGATAAATCGAATTGTTGCCTCCCTTGAATCTTAAAATCCTCAACTTAAGTCTCAGGTCTTTAAGCTTCCCAGCAAAAGTCTAAAGATGCGGTAAGCTTCAGGATTTCGAAGAGCTTGATGCCGTAGAAGGCGCCATATCGCTAGTTGCACAATTTGTAGCAGCTAATCTTCTGATGGACACTTGCCAAGAGGGAGTTGGGGGGAAAGCGATACGCAGACGTGTTGTAGGGCGTGCGGGGGATCCCGACTTGGGTCAGGAGAACATACGCAAATCATTGGGGTTAGAGACGATCTGATTTCTCCTAGGCAAATCTCTTTAGGCTTGCCAGAATCTGACGAATTTCAGAAGAATGATCAGCGACAAAAATATCCGCGGCTAGCAATAATATCCCCTGCCATATTAGGATCTTATAGAGCGATCCGAAAGCCTGGCAGCCCTCAATTTCAAAGATAGATACATAATCAGGATTCGAGATATCAAATTAAAGGAAATAAGATTTGGACTTGCATTCATTATTCTCTTCGATATCAATAAGATTATCGTCACGAATATATTCTAACGACGATGTTCCGTTATTGAAAGCAGCGGTTCCATTCTAGTCTAATTGAATATAGATATATTTATGAATATTCATATATAATATAAAATCGATCGAAATTTGAAGATATTCTATATGGAAACTAAATTTTGGAGAAAAATCAACGAAATTTGAAGATATCTTATATAGAAAGATAATTATATATCATTGAGGAAATGAAATTTTGAAAATATTCCGTATGAGGATAAGATTTTTCTCGTAATTTGAAGGATATTCCGCGCGGAAATGCGATTTCTTCAAAATTTTCAGGATATCCCGCATGAGATCGTGATTTTGAATGATGAAATCGAAGGAATTTATATCGATTGAGCGTCGGGATATTCTCCTCAAGATCGTGATATTGAATGAAGAAAACGATATTGAATAGAATATCCCAAGAATCAATCAATATGATTTCTATCGATTTAGTCGATCAATTTTTGAATGACGAAGACGACGAATATTATATTGATTGAATGCCGGGGCACTCCTCTCAAGGCCCCAATTTCGAATGAAGAAGACGATCTTGAATGGATTATATTGATATTCAATCAATATAGCTATCAATATAGCCTTCGTCAATAATTAATAAAAATTTCCGAATATTCTGCACGAGAACGTTATTTTCAGAGAAATTGAGGAAGATAAATCGACGAAATTTTGGAGGATATTCCGCCCAAGAACGTGATTTTTGAAGATATAAAAATGGAAAAATATATCAAAGATCAGATGATCTCGAGCGAGAGTCCGATTTTCGAATATCAAAATTCTGGAATTTTGAAGATATCTTGCACGGGAGAATGGATTTCGAAAATCGGGGCACAACCAATTCGATTAGAGATCATTGGAACCAGATTTTGAAGAAAGGAAACGATTTTTTCTGATGATTACGACGTGATAAAACGATATTCTGAACAAGAACGCGAATTTATAACGATTTAAAGCGTATCTATATAACGGAAGAAATACGTAGGGATGACGGACGATATATAATAAGAATTAGTTTCTTAAAATGAATTTGATATATATAATATAGATTATAGAATTCAATGAATTGGGAGATTATAGAATTTCCGCGGAAGTCTCGATAGATAACTTATCCTAAGAAATATATATATATATTAGAAATCATTTTCTTGATCAAAAGGATTTCAGATTTCTTATATATAGATCGTATGAGTGACGATGATATTATCATGAATTATGATAGATTAGAAGAAGATAAGATTAAGATATTATATAATATCATTTGAGAATTTATATTAGATAATATATTTCCTATGAATATTAGATATCTATATTTTCTTTATTTTCTCAATGATATATATATATATAGAAATTCTTATTTATCTAGTTAATTCTGATTTTTTGATATATATCGATTTTATAGATTCTCTTTTCCATATAGATATCATAATATATATTCCAATATATTCATATTCTTCTTATTCAAATAGAAATATATATCTTTCATTCGAAATGCCGGTCGAATCAACGATTAATATCTCTGATATTTTTAGATCTTCTCTCGTATCATTAAACTTATAGATTTTAGAAATTCAGAATCTATAAGAATTTTGAAAGAAGAATCGGAATAATTAGATCGAGAACGAATATCATAATTATCAATATATATATAAATATATCCAGGATTAATTGTCAATTCTAAATTTCATAAGATTGAATTTTTCTAGATATTGATAATTTTCTAGTTCGAGAATGATTGATAATTTTAAATTATATAAAGAATATCAAAAGAATCATATTAACGAATATTAAATGATCAAATATCGTCTTTCATCAAAGAATTCTTTAAATCATAATTCAATTTATCATATCATAA